ATATTATTAAAAAAGTTAATAATACAAATTAGATTTTATTGTTTCAGAACGTAACAGAAACATGGACATTTAAGTCTTTAATTAGGCTTATTTTTATACGCGTCTATTAGACTAGAAATACATATATACATATGTTTTAAATTTTACAAAAACATCGATGTCACATATGCAAATATGTACATAAATATGTGCACATACATATATATATGTATGTATGTTCATGTTAATGAACTGTGGTTTTAAGGGACTCTCACCCATATGTACATGTTTGCATTTGTATTCTTATATGAACCTTGAATAAGCTTTAAATCAGCTTACTTATTTTGTGAGTACAAAATTAAACAATATGCATAGAAGTGTACATACATATGTATATACATACGATCATTCGTTTGATTATTACGTATGTACATGTATAGCTTTAAAAATAAACCGAATAGATTAAATTGGTGTACATGGCGATGTATGTACATATGTATGTATGTATGTATGTTTGAATGTATAAGAGTACCAACAGCAGCTTTTCTATAGAAAACGAAAATGATTTCCTGTTTCATGGGCTTGTACGCATACATACATATTGACATGCACATACAACAGCTGAGGCCGAAGCCTAACGAATGAGAGTGAGAGAAAGAGTAGAAGAGACGCAGCACTTGATTTCGTCAGTTTAGGATCGCACGAAACCAAACAAAACATTGTTTTGTTGAATAAAGTCAAAATTTAGCAATAACAACAATTAGTCACCAACCGCGCAGAAAGCCGTCGTGGTGAAAATGTTGCGTGCACTCAGTTAACAGCAAATGAGAGCAATAGCAAAACACAAAAAGCCAAACATAGGCAAACAAACGTGTTGATATGTTGTGTATGTGTACGTACGCATTCACATACATATGTATCTGTATATACATATGTATGTACGCCTCACCATTGGTGCTGCAACAGTAGCTTGTGGGGGTGTTTTACTGAGGTGAACGACGCGCCCCACGCACAACAACAACAACAGGCAGTGGCATCCAAGCGACAGTATCTGTAATCTGTGGGGAGTGGAGGTAGCGTTGCATTTTATACTTTATATCTGTCTGGAAGGTCTGATACAAGCGAACCATATTACTGCCTCAGTTGAAATGCGCAGTTACGGGCCGAGCACAAAGCAGCAACGCCACTGCGTAGAAGACTGACAGGAAAAATAATATTAAGGCAAGGTTGAGAAACGTGTTGAGAACAAAATTGAGCACTGTTAGAAATAGCGCTCGATGGATTCTCTCTCCTGCTCTTCTGCTTTGGGGCATTCAACTTGGACAGGTGCGAGACGGTCAGTCGGTTTTATGTACCGTTGCAGCGATCAACACACAAGTGCGAGAGAATGAGTGGCAGAACATGGGGAGAGCCGCACACGCACATCCATCAGGATTTGACAACGACGCGCAATATATTTTACTGCGAATATCGTGAAACTACGTAGCAATAAGTTGCGAGCTGAGCGAGACCAGCAAATGTATGTATGTACATACAAACATACATATGTATGCATATGTTTGTATGTACATACGTATGGCATAAATGCATATGCATTTAAAATACAGCACATGCGAGCGAAAGTTAGTTGCAGTTGTCTGTGCATATGTATTTGAGCTCTGAGATGTTAAGAAATTAACAAAATTAAACAAAGCATTTTATATGCGCTTTGATATGAAACAGCCACAGTTAATTGAACTTTGGCTCGCGTACGAGCGTTCTCTGTGTGTGGTATTTGTATTCATGTGTGCATGCGTGTGGATTGTACTGTAATTACCCCACTTTGCTATGGCGATGTTCATTATTATCATTGCTGACGCGCAAAAGCTAATTGCTTTGTCTTGTCTTGTAGCTGGCACCTCTAAGCCGTTGTTTACAGTGTGACCGACCGCAGCGTAAAACGAAAATATACTAAATATTGATTCTAATTGCGAAAATTTGATTGTAACTTTCAAAATTAATTAAATATATATAATTTCAGGTTTTTAATTAGTTACTTAACGTTAATTTAATAAAAATGTATAATAACGATAAAAAAAGAGCTTTTACTGTCGTCATTCTTATACTTTCCTTGAAATTTATTAAAGATATAAAATTTTTGATAAATGATTTTCATAAAATAATTTGCATAAAATATTGGTACATTGGACGGTGGATGTGTGAGTAAAAATAAATCAAGTAAACACATATTATGACAGAGATTTCAGCAATAACAAAAATATTCGTTTACATTAAAATGTGAGTGGACGGAATGAGGCTTAAACACTATATAGATTCATATGTGTATGTATAAAAATTTGCAATCGCAATTCGTTTTTGATATGTACTAGACATGGTTTGAACGCATCTAAGGCACGCAACTGGTGAATATGGAATGTTTACACATAAATCCCTGCCTAGCCATGGCTTAATTGGGTTCTAATGGACGGGATTATTGAGCTTAACGTGCGATTAATACGGCAGTTAACCCACTGGCATTGTGGATACAGTGCTGTGGGGTGTTGTGGGACGAGAGCCGGCCAGCGAGTTGGCTGTTGAGGCGTGAAGCGAGGCCATGGTGCCCATCTGAAAGGATGAGAGGATTAACAGAGACTCTTTGGCTATTTGATAAATTATAAGACTTACGCGCAAGTGCGCCAAATCTTCCAGCTTGGTCAAGTCCACCAGCTCCAGGAACAGCGAATAGACAACGGCCCAGCCGTAGATGGAGACCAGACAGAAGATGCTCCAGAGCAGCACCATTATGATGTTGTAAGCAAAGTACAGATCGTTGACAATGGCAAAGAAGATGAGGGCCAAGGCGCGCCAAATGGTGAAAATGGCAAAGCTCCACAGCCAGGGCATCACCTTCCGCTCGTACTCCTGCAAGAATTCGGAAATTATGTTAATAGAGCTCCTTTGTATTTTGTTGATTAATGAGGTGTCTAAACTAAATGATTTGATGTTGGATGTTTTTTGTTACCCTTCTGCTCAGTAAGCGTTTCTGTGCTCCAAGTTTTTCTTGCTTGAACGCATGTGTGAAATGAAAGTGAAAATGGCAGAGCCAAACGAAAAGACTTAAACTAAATCTTTAGCTTACCTTACGCAAGGCCACGCACAGCAGGATGCTGGTCACGAAGTTCACCAGGGCCATAATAAGCGAGAAGAGGGCGAATACGATCAGCATGTTGCGGACTGGAAAAAAAGCGAGGCTTTACGTAATTCTCGAACAGATAAATGACCGCATATATACCGTGCTTGTTTCCAACATAGACAAACTCGTACGATATAATATAGTAACCGTAATGTGTGGATCCTGGGGCAGCCATCGCATAGCAGTAAATGTCAAAGATCGTGGTGGCAATGGTGAAGAGCGAAAGAAACTGCGGAGGGAGGCACTCGAATCAGCAAGCGCGCGAATACAAACAAACCACGGAACTCACCACAGCGAACAGGCCAATCAGCATGGCTCCCTTCTGTATATCGATGTATTGGTTGTTCTTCAGGAGCGGCCGCTGGTACCAAGGGATGCGAACGCTTCGCGTGGAGCGCGACATTTTCGAGTGCAAATTTGTAGAAGATCTGAAAAGTAGTTGAATATATGCATCGCTTACAAATCATTTTCATAATTATATATATGTATTGATTTACCTGCCCGTCGCATGGGAATACATCGAGGGATTCGATCGATAGGTCGAAGGCGTCTTGCGGCCATAATTCATGTTGAAGCCTTGTTCTGTGACGTCACGGAATGAAATATGTTTGGAGATTCAAGCACTACACAAGGAGCAGCTGCAAAATGGAAGAACAGAAGTTGTGATAACATTTTAATAACTTTGCTAACGGGCGTGTCTGATTAATTTGTTATTATGGGTGTGTCTGCTTCACATGAGAAGCCCAGCTTGAGCACACAGCTTTTGCTAGTAGATTTGCAGGCCAAGGTCCGCTGCGTGTCAATTATATTATGTGGCATCCAGATTAAGCTAATCCATTGTTTGTTTTGCGCACTTCCAAATTGTGTTATCCATTTATTTACCTCAAAATAATTAAATTCTGTTGCTGAGCTACGCATCAACAACAAACACACTGAATCACAAAAGTGCTGCCCATCGGTTGACACAACAATCGCCCTGTTGCACTGCACGGAACGGTGGCCCAACTGTTGTGCAACAGATGTATCGATGTTGCGCACAATCGTCAATCAGCTGAGTGTCATCAGTCGCTGTGACTGTCAAATGTATTGTTATGGTTTTTTCTAATTATAGAGCAATAATTTAATTCGAAAACGCATTAGCTGAAACTTCCTATATACAAATGGCCTTATAATACTTTTCAATCATGACACTGCCGCGAATAACAGACTATGACATACAAGAGAAACTTGGAGTGGGCAGCTATGCATCTGTTTACAAGGCGCGCCATAAAGTAAGCCGACGAATTGAATAAATTTCCACGAATCAACTTATCTCTCTCTCTTTCTATATTTCTTTAGAAACAGGGCACTTATCACGCCATTAAGTATGTGGAAATGTCCACGTTGTCCCAAAGCTCTCGCGACAATCTAATAACGGAAATTCGTCTGCTGCGCGACCTCAAACATAAATATATTGTGACGCTGCAGGACTTCTTCTGGGATGACAAGTGGGTTAAATATAAATATATGTATTCGATTGGGTATTCAGAAAATCTTTAATATTCCTCTCCTCTTCCTCAGGAACATATACATTGTACTGGAGTATTGTAATGCGGGCAATCTGTCCGCCTTCATCCGCACAAAGAAGGCGCTGCCGGAGTCCACATGTCGCTATTTTTTACGGCAGCTGGCCGCGGCGATTCAATATATGCGAGCCAACGATGTCTCGCACTTTGACCTGAAGCCACAGAACTTGTTGCTGACGCGCACCGCTAATAATGTCTACCTAAAGGTTGCGGACTTTGGGTATGTGATCGAATGAGATTGGAGCCCTTTATTTACAGTTTTTTTTTACATTTCACAGGTTTGCGCAACACCTTAAGCTGGGCGAGATCAATCAGCAGCTCAAGGGTTCGCCGCTGTACATGGCGCCAGAGATTGTGCGCAAGCATCAGTACGACGCCAAGGCGGATCTGTGGAGCGTGGGCGTCATTCTCTATGAATGCCTGTTTGGGAAGGCGCCGTACAGCTCGCGCACCATTGAGGAGCTGCTGCTGCGCATCCGGAAGGCGGAGCCCATTGTGCTGCCACCGAATGCGCGCATCAGTAACGAATGCCACGATTTGCTGCGGCGACTGCTGGCGCATGAGCCAGCGCAACGTATTTCGTTTGCGGATTTCTTTGCGCATCCCTTTCTAGATCTCAAGACTTTTCCCTCGGAGAAAACGATGAAGAAGGCCATAGACCTGGTTACCCAGGCGGTCGAGCACGATGAGAAGCGCAACTACAAGGAGGCCTATTATCTGTATTGCAGCGCATTGCAATACTTTGTGCCGCTGATCACCGAGGAATCGGACGCCAGCCGGCGCCAAGAGCTGCGCCATCGAGCGCTCACCTATATGAAGCGCGCGGAGGAGATTAAAAACGTTATCATCGAGGACGAGTACAAATTGTTGGCCCAGCGTCAGCAGAAGGCATTGGAGAAAGGCGCCGCTGCCACAGCCGCCGAGGCTGCCAATCCTCAGACACAGCCAAGCACATCCCGCATGATGGAAATGCTTGAGCCGGATGCACGCTATAAGCAGCTTTGTATGAGATCTCACTTAATCCTGATTTCAGTTACCACGAAACAATTATCATAAATCACGCGGAATTAGGGAAAACCTTTGATATTTGTAAACTGATTAGATATCTTTTATAGCTTTTGCTAAACGGTCACTCCACAGGTGGGAGTGGCTGTCGAACGCTGACCACTTGCAATGACAATTTGCAAACAGTAATCTGCTTAGTCCCTAAATCGCTATCTTTTACATATACCAATTCACGTTCCATTATCACATCGAACTTTTAATTGGAAATTCCCTGAAAATAGCATTGTACGAATTTCAGTTGCCCTATCGAACTCGAGCCCCTCGCTGAAGACTGGCCTGGAAATCGGACGGCAGGGCGAGCTCTACTTGTACGAGCGCAAGCTGGACGCCGCCTTGGAGTCGTATACCTCTGCCCTGGGCATTTTGGTGCCGTTTGTGAACAATGAGCCGAAGGGCGAGCGACGCAACCTGCTGCTGCAACAGGTTAGCTCCTGCTCCAGTTTCCACATGAGTTTCCTATCAATCTTGATTCCCTTTCAGTTGGAGTTCTGGATCAAGGAGGCTGAAAGCATCAAGAGTATACTGAGCGCCAAGCACCTGGATGAGGAGGAACAGAAGATGTCAACGGTACGCAGCTGCACTATTCAGTAGCGAGTCCAATCCGATTGTTAAGTGTATTTTTGTAGACAGATGCCCTCAGCATCGATTCGTGGAGTAGCGTAGTTTGATTTATATATATATAGTGTATAATCTAGATTGTGTGTGGGCCCAGCTGACTCACGTATTCTAATACCTGTGGCTAACATTTGTTAATATTTATGTATACGTTAAGGCATACCCTCTGGCTTTACCCTCTGGCTATAATCAAATTTAATACTTTACAAATTTTTGTGACTAAAACGTTGAACGTACATGTATCCATCCGCATTCCGCTAAGCATTCTTTATACAGTCTCACATTCCAGCAACTGTGCCACACTTTCTACCGGATATCAGGCCACACGTTTATTTATTCTTATGCATTGTGATTAATTTAATTAAAATGGTTTAGTCAAGCATAAATTCAAATTAAAGCAGATCTATGTGTATGCGCATTTCTCTATTTTTGCATCTATGTGTGGGAATGGGTAAGTTCCGATTGATTGAAAAATAATGCACGGATTACAAAAATTACTTAAATTTATATTAAAGTCTCCCGAGGCAGCTGTGGATTACTCTTTGTGATGGGTTGCAGTGTGGTAGTAACTGATGGAAATATCTATGGACGACCTCAAAAGTCATGGATGTTCTTAAATATGAAGACGAGCTGACTCTATCTAGACCGGGTCCTTTGACCATCTGTCCGTTTTGTATTTACATATAAATAGAGACATGTACTTGTTGGATTGGCGTTTGGTATTATTGTAAATCCCTCAATGCTCTCCCGCATTACGCTTGCAGGTGTCTCGAGGTGGCCGTCAATAATACGTTAATCTATGGATATTTTCAAAATGTGTAAAAGTGTTACCATGAACCCTTTCTCTTTCCCTTTATTTAAAATAATCGAATTCTTGTTTGAAACATAATCGATCATTGATAATATTTTAAATATTCTAAGTATAATTCCTGATCCAGTAAAAAAGGTTGTTTTGAATTTTTTTACATATTCTAAAAACACAAATATTGGATTGGATGTGCCCATAAACGACTCTTTAAGAGCTGCACTCTTAACATATTAGAATGTTACCTGAATGTTATAATGGATTCAAACTCTAGAGGATTTCTAGAGATCCAGAGATGCAAAGAGCTAATGTACCAATTACTCTACATTTCTATTATGCGTAGGTCTGCAAAACAAATTCTTCACTTCTCTAGATTAAATTTTGGTATTACTCTTATTATACTCATGCAACATTAAGCGTGCACCCGGACGAGCATAGGAGAGCGATCAGTGGAACAGAGAAACGCCCCCTCCAACAGCTACAGCTGCTACACTGATGATCGCATAATACTGACTCACTTACAATTTTCTTGAACTATGTATTTCACTTAACGCTTTTAACAGAATTACGCTCTGCTAATTGCGCAGTTGGCGTAACAACAATTATTCTTTGAATAACTATTCTTGTAGATGTTCCTTCATAATAAAGCCTTTAGAATGCGATAATTATAATTGTATTTGCCAAATCGAAAATCTATTTGAGGATAATAGAAATAGGGGCAGTACTTAAAACCAGAAAATTGAAAATTCCTTGCATTCTAGACCTAAGTAATCTGAAATACAATCAAAAATCCGCGCTGAAACGAAGAGACCGTTAGCGACTGCAGACTTCTAGCATGAATAGTGAATAGTAAAATGGTTTTCGTTTCTACGCTTTATGGAGCTAGCCGAAACTATCTGAGTTCCCATTTTCAATGGGTTCAGTATATAAAAGTCGATAAATACCTAAGTATTCCAAACTATTCCTAGCTACCCTATACAATAAACTTTCTAGGTTCTACACACGTATAAAGAAAACTTAAGATTTTTACTGCTACTACTTCAAATACTACTAGATTAGCTTTAAACAACCTCTCGATTCTTGCGATCTGAAGTTATTCCCTGTTTTTGTTAGTTTCAAAGGACTTTAATCTGCTATAAACAACAAAAGCCTAGAGTGATTATTTTATAAATAGGCAAAAGTCTGGGCCAATGAAACTTTCTATCCATATTGATTGATTGATCAATTGTCTAACTGATTGATTAGATTTGAAAAATAATGCGAAATGTATTTGAATCATTGAGTAAAACCCAATCCAGTCTGATTTATAAACTGTAAATCGAAGAGACCAACGAACCAAAAACTTTAAAATTTATAGCGCAGTTATCGCAGGCCGTAAATTTGTGCCGTATCGCCTGAGCGCACACTCCAATGGAACCGTCTATAAAAGACGCTAGTCGCAGCGCCCGCCTGCCAGTTAGAATCTAATCGACCAATTGCTAATCATGACATCGTCCGGGCAACAGCTGTGCGCGCTTCTGCTGCTGCTATTCACCTGCGGCAGCGTCTATGGCGCACCTCCAATGGGTCGAGTGGTCAACGGCACAGATGCCGCAGTGGAGAACTATCCGTTTGTGGTGAGTACGAGTCGGACCTCCACATGGATCTAGCTGTCTACAATGAGTACCTTCTTCCCAATTTGACAGATCTCGTTGCGCGGTCCAACCGGTTCCCATTCCTGCGGTGGCTCGATTGTATCCAATCAGTTTGTGTTGACAGCGGCTCACTGCACGGCCGGGCGTCAGGCGTCGCAGCTCTCCGTGCAGTACGGAGTGACGAAAATCGCAGCCAACGGACCCAATGTGGTGGGCGTCAAGCGCATCATTCAGCACGAGCTCTACGATCCATACAACAATTATGCTAACGACATAGCTCTGCTCCAGGTGCAGGTGCCCTTCAAGTTTGACAAGAACGTGGCACCTGTCCGGCTGCCAGCGCTACACTTTGTCACGCCCCAGGGGAACGAGGGCGGCGACGGCACACTGATTGGCTGGGGTCTAAATGAAGTGAGTATAGCTATAACTTATCTGATCTTAATCTGTGTCTCATGTCTGAAATTTAATTTTGTAGTCTGGCGGCTCTATCCAGACCACACTGCAGCAGGTGCATCTGAAGGTATATTCGGATGCGGAGTGTGTCGCCCGCCATAGTGGCTCCACAAACCCCCAACATCATATCTGCGGCGGCGTCGACGAGGGCGGCAAGGGTCAGTGCAGCGGCGACTCGGGCGGTCCGCTGCTCCACGAAGGTCAGCAGGTGGGCATCGTGTCCTGGAGCAGGAAGCCCTGCACCGTGCCGCCCTATCCCGGCGTCTACACCAAGGTGGCCAACTATGTCGACTGGATCCAGAAGCAACAAATCATATTGGCTTAGGCGCCTAGTCAATTAGCCACCGTATTTATGGCAGATCGTATAATAAATGTGGCTATCGCATTGGCCTTATCACCGCCTTCGATCGATTGGACCATAAATCATTGTTGTGGACTCAAATTCTTTCAAATCGTTCTATCTGCACTGAGAAATAAAACAACTTTTGTTCCACGTACATCAAAGAATAAGAAAGAGAATATACAATATAAAATAATATACAATATAGACTATAACAAATGGGGCTATTAATAGTGAATACCACATTTATTTTATTACAATTTAAATTCCTAAAGTATGAAATTTTAATGCTTTCAATTTGGTTCAAACTGTAAGCCAAGACAACAACCAGTGCTGAAAATTTAATTTTATAGCAAGTACATTTGCCAAGGTGTGAAACTCTGCTGATTCTTAACTCATTAATATTTGTCTGTTAACTCACAGTGCTTTAACATGCGAACGTGCTTCAAACATGTTCGAGGCTACCTTTGCCTGTAACTGCAGCATTTCTCAAATGTTGAATTTGAATAAAGACAAAACGGCATAGTTCTCTCTCTCTCTCTCTCTATATATATATATATAT